TCTACAACAGGGAACTGCTGCTTTTTCTTTCCTAATCCCTACTATTGTCATTTTCTTCTTATTTTGTATGTTTGTCACTCTCTTGTGACCTGCTATTTCTCGGGTGCTTTGATAGTTGAAGCAGACCTTTTGTGCTGTTGCAGCTAGAGAGGTGAGCAGAGTAAGTCTGATTCCCTGTAAAGACTTCTCTGTTGACACCCACCCCTTGGCGCTCATATGACCTTATGCAGTTGCGAGCGCCATAAAACCCTCTACTATGATAATAAAAATAATAATAATACATTGCTCCCTGTCTCTGTTCCCAGACCCCGTACGCCAACGCTCAGGCGTTTCGCTGTATACGCGAGGCGTACTCCCGACAGCTTGAAGCTGAGAGCAAGGCCCGTTCTTCCAGCCCTTCCCTCGGTACCTCAGGACAGTCGAGGAAGAAAGAGAAGACGGCCGGCTCACCTCAGGTCGTCTCTGTCACTTCCTGACCCGACTGACGGAACAGAATATACTAAAATTAGATTTTATGACTGTAATGCTCATTCTGCTGCATCCGACCTTGATTGAGCTGGTGGTTGGAGGGTGCTTCTGGCAGGGGCCTCCTTCTGTTTTGTCACTCTGTAATTTCTGTCTGTCGTTCTTTTTTGCTTTTCCCCCTTGCACCCAATGATGGTTATTGAATCAATAGGCTTGTATTTATCCAAGCGAACCAACCAGTTAAGATGAAAACCATCACTGCAGCACAGTTCATTGAACAAAATGAGTATTGTCTTTCTTCCATATTGTTTGACTCACTGAACACCAGGCCGCGATTTGCCTCCAAACGCCAGGGAACCACCCATTTTACCCACTTTTTAAAAATTCATTAAAAATTGAAATGAAAGTCAACCATTCTCTCACAAAGTTTACCTCTGATTCCACCCTCTCTTCCCACCTCCTCTCTTCCCACCTCTTTCAATAGCAAATGTCTCGATTTCTATTCAAGATCGACGGGACGACTTCATAAATCAAAATGTGAATTCGCCTAGCACTACAGTGATGAAGATGACTGAGAAAATGACATTAGACCTAGGTCTAGACCAACATCGTCTCTCGATCGTGAATCTGAGTCATCAGCGAGTGCGCAGCCTGATCCGGCTGGGAATGATGATAGATCTAGCCCCAGTACCAGTTCAAATCAGCCCTCAAAGTGGAGAAGATATAGATGTCTATGTACCCAGACCTGGAACATCTAAAGACAGATCTAGTCCTAGCACTAGCAGCACTGACAATGATGCTTCTCAGTCTGTCACCGATGATTTTTATATAGGTTTAGATCAATATTTTTATAATTTTTCAAAATTAATTATCACTTACATTTTAATGCTACTTCACTGTACACACTCATGCTTCATTCTCACACACACTGTCACAACCATTTTGTGTAAGTTGATTAGATTTCTGCTTTGTCCCAACTTTCTGTCCCATACATTTTTTTGTCATTCATTCTTCACAAAATGTGTTTATTGTGTGTGTTGTACCCATATCTTTTTAAATAGCACAGAAAATTTCAAAGAAACACCCATCGATCTTGAATAGAAATCGAGACATTTGCAATTGAAGGAGGTGGAAAGAGAGGGGGGGGGGGGGGGGGGGGGTGTGTGTGTGGAATCACCTGGTGTCAGAGGTAAACTTTATGAGAGAATGGTTGACTTCCAAAACTTGAGTGTCCTTGAAAATTGCCAATTTATGTTTTTGTGCCTTTGACTCTGATCATCATTTTTCTGTAAAATCCACGCAAATGCATTTTTAAATGGACACAAGGTCTTGAGCTTTAAAAAAAAATCGGAAAAAAAAAAAAGATTTAAAACTGCCCAATATGCGGAAAAATGTCGCTTTTCTTTTATTCATTATTTTCATGGGTGCCTGATTCCATGTCATGGCAATAGCACATATGTGTCTGCCGGCTGATGTGTTACCGCCTAAGACTGGCGCCCGAGGCTCTTAGTGGACACAAAATGTTCCATAAGTTGTTCCTCTGTCTACTTGTAAAACGTTCACATTGTATAGAAGTTTCATCTCATGTTTTTACTTTTGTCAAGAAACGAGTGAGAGTGTTTCAGTTTGTGTATATAATATGGAGATGATTGCTTTGTCTCTTCTGCCAGTTTGTATATATAGATAGATATATATATATATATATATATATATATAAGTATTTGAACTTAATGACAGCTGAATGAATGAATGAATGAATGAATGAATGTAGATGTGCAAGTTGTGTTGTTTCAACATGTGTGTTTTCCACTGAATTGTTTTGATTAAAGATGACAAAAATTTGACCTCTATTTGATTTCTTGTTCTAATTTAGGTGTAATAATAATATATAGCCAATACTTGACTTGATGATATGGGTGGGTGGCAGGCACTCTGGTGTGGTTTCCTCCTTCTTTCCTATGAAACATCTATCGTCCTCCGTATATCTCCTCCTTCTTGGCTTTGTCTGTTTCTCTGTAGTGACACCTCTATACTGCGGTACTGATTTGACCTATTTGTCTTGTTAGTGTTGTAAAACTCAATAAAACTAAAAGAAACTAAGTGGGTGGTTGGCGTGTGCTCTGGTGTGGTTTGCTTCTTCTTTCCTATCAAACATCTATCGTCCTTATCTCCCCTTCTTTTTTATGTTTGTTACTCTCTTGTAACACCTCTAATCTTCTGGCGCACATATGCAGTTGCGAGCGCCGTAAAACCTCTACTAAAACTAAAAAACTAAAAAAAACTAAAAGAAAATAAAACTTAGAAGAGAGTGTCAATTTGTATGACTCACTGCCTCTCCCCAAACAGCATGTGCATTGCTGTCATCCTGTGCATGATTTGGTACATGTTGTTTTAGATTTCTTAAAATTCACAAAAAAGAAAATAGATTTTTTTTCAAAAGAAAAGGCATACTGGCACATACAACCATTTTGTGGTGTTGGAAAAAGTGAAAGTGCAAATGAAAAGCAATGATGGCTTTAAAAAATAGAATGGGGAACTTATCAGAGCATCATCTTGGAGTTGTATGGTTTGCAGGAGACATTGTAAATTACATTTAATGACTGGCTGCCTTAGTCACAACTTAGTGTGATGTCTGGGATCTATACTGCCGCGCGCAGAAGACGTCGTCGTGAGCTGAGTTTTTTAAAATGTGGATTGTAGAGTACTTGTAGCAAAATGTTAGATACGCTAGTACGTGATTTCACATACGAATTGTGTTGATGGGGGCATAAAATATAAAAAAGCTTTCATTAAAAAAACAATTTTTTAGTTTGTCACAAAGTCAATGGAGATGGATTGCTTTGGTTGACGCAATCAGTTTCTTTTTTTTTTTTTAAGGACAGGTGTTTGAGGCAGCTTGATTTCCAGGGAGTTGACTATCAGTGTTAAAGTATGTGAAGCTCGACTGACAAGCTTTGTGGTTTGAGTCCTTCTAGAGGTTTGAGTCCTGTGGTCCCTGGCTCATATGACCTAAGGAATTTGCAAGTGCCGTAACACATACACCATGCATCAATTCCCACATACACTGTGCATCAATTCCCACATACACCATGCATCAATTCCCACATACACGGTGCATCAATTCCCACATACACTGTGTATCAATTCCCACATACACTGTGTATCAATTCCCACATACACCATGCATCAATTCCCACATACACCATGCATCAATTCCCACATACACTGTGCATCAATTCCCACATACACCGTGCATCAATTCCCACATACACCATGCATCAATTCCCACATACACCATGCATCAATTCACACATACACTGTGCATCAATTCCCACATACACTGTGTATCAATTCCATCATGTTTACTGGGATGTTGAACCCCACCTCGGCCCATGTTGAAGTAGACA